TAAACTTGGGCACGTAGGGATCTGCAGTTCAGAACGGAGGTGCAACTTGATTTTTTGGGTGGTGTTGGGAAGTAGGTGGCCTGGAATGTTCTTCAGAATTTAAAATTGATTTAATTTGAATTCTGCTAACATTGCTTTTCAGTGTAATTGTCAGTGTATGGCCCAATCAGGACTGGAAACCGTTCAAGTACAAATTCACCAAATAAACTATTAACTGTCTTGGCAGTGTTCTTGATGTATTGTAAAAACATACTGAATCTCAGTGGTTGTTTCTTGTTTCACTTTGGATTATAATTCATATCTTGCTGATATTTCAGGTAATGGGAAGATAACCTTTATTTTATAAGGAACTTTATTCACCTGTATAGAAGTTCTGAATATTTGTTGTTTTCTGTTAAAACTGGACATTTAGGTACTCCTTTCTGGGAGTGCTTGGCATGTTATGTCTTTATGAGCTCATGTTCACCTTTGTCTCTGAAACACTATCCTAAATATCTGAGAACAGAACACTCATCTATTCTGCAGATCAAATGAATGTTGTCTACTCGAGATACTATAAAACTTGATGCTTTCTTGGGATAAAGTGACTAAAGTGATGGCCAAGCAGATGGATGTGATAGTAAATAGGTTTATGAATCCAATTAATAACTGAGCAAATGAAGGAAAACTTTTCTCCCCTCTCTTTAATTTTAGCTGTGTTGTAAATAATCTGAAACCACTTCTACAAATGGTTAAAAATTAGCACAGTATACTTGTAGTCACATTTCATATGTGAGAATAGGCAATGATGCTTTAACTATTGCTTCTGTACTAAATTATATCTGAAAGTAGATTACTGCATATGGGATAGAAAATAGCATAGAAATTGCTCCAGAATTTCAATAGCTTCTTTCACACTCTGTAGTAAAACATGTAGTAATAATACTGCATTGTCTAGTCTTATTAGGTTGAAACACTTTCATCCTTAATTACAAAAGGACTTCAGGTTTTTCTTTAAAATTTCTGAAATGCTGTTAAGAAGGAAGTTGGAATTGCCTGTCTCTTGTGTCATGGTTTTCTACCCCCTACTGTGCCTGTAGTACTTGTGAGTAGCTTGTCTTAAAGAGCAACTGTCTAAAAATGTTTCCTGTGATAAAACTTTCCCAAATACTCTTGAAAATGTTTCTGAAATGCTTTTGTGATTTTTGTTAAAATATATGCTGCATCTAAAATCTTAACTACATAAGATTGTCAGAATGTTTGGCAAATACTTGAACCCACAGTACAAAAAAATTATACAGAGTAGTCACTGCTGAGAACCGAAAAACATAAAGCAAGTAGCTGGAGTTCAGCTAAACGTTCAGGTAGCTGGAGGGAACTACAAACAAGTTTGATCCTGGATAAAGTTAACTTTTGAAGTGTTCCAATTCTAGTTAACTTTTCTGCAAGTTGTCTTTTATTGATATTGATGTCTTGGGAGTCAGCCTATAATTTTCTTCCAGGTTTGTAGTTACCTGCAGTCTTGGAAAAATGCTGTTAACTGTTCTATGCCTCAGTTTACTTGCCGGCAAATACTTGTTCTGTTTGCGTACTGCTTTGCTTGACCTAATCAGATTGATTAACCAATATGAAAAAACATTTAAATCTTTATAAATTGAGCTTAGCATTTTTTGATAGATGGTGCTTTGTTTATTGTGAGCAGAGCGCTACAGTTTCTCTTCATAGAGCCTTTTTCACTTTAATGCAGCATGAAGTGATTACAGGAGTGGAAAGGTCAGAAAGATCTGTAATTATGTTAATGCTATTCAGGATGGCTGAACAGTAGGTATTTTCTTATTTGGATAGTCAATTATATCTAAGAATAATTACAGCAGTACAGGAAATATAATGCTCAATTGCTACTTAACTAGGATTTGGTCTTTTGACACTTACTGTCCTTGACTGCCATTAGTTTTAAGTGTGTTACAGTTTATGCTTTAAAAACAATTCATCAAGAATTATTTGAATATTTCATTATTTTTCATTAAAAAAAATCTGAAGTTTGGTTTTAACAACTCTGTTGCTTTCTGAAATTGTTTCATCAAGAAGTCATGAGAATGTAGCGTTGCTTTAATGGGAGTATACAATTGTGTGCTATGAAAAGCTGGTTTAAGACAACTGCAAGCTAGTTTGTGATGGAAAATAGCAGGAAGAATTGAAATAAATGGTGAATATGTTGATAAAGTATCTATCTTGAGATAAGGCTGAAAAATGTTTGTTATTTCTGCCTCTAAAATGAGGACTGCTAGCAATGTTCTGGTAAAGGCCCAGTGAGTACTATTTTTTGGTGTGATAGTTTGTGTGAGCAGCTACTCTCCAGGTTCTACAGTGAGATCAGGAAGGTTGTTTGAATAAAGATGTGAATAGAATAGACCACAGTTATCTTGGCTCAAATTCTAAGTCCTGTTTTAACATAGCAGGTGAGTGGTTATCTTTAAACATGTAATTAGTCAGTGTAGGTCAGTATGACTCTACATCTTGCACTTGAATTTTAATATAATGGGAGTGGACTAGCAACTGCTATTTCAGTTGCATGATTCTGGACTTTTCCTAGACACACACACCACCATAACTTGCCTCTGGAGGCCTATCTGAATTTAATGCAATCTCTGACAGCTGCACCATGGATTCTGTTCCTAACTTGCTGCTGTTATTTTAGTGGGTTTTACAAGGAAGAAATCTTGCATGCTCTGCACAGCCAGGCTCAACAGAAATTTTGTTTCTAGGACTTCTGTGGAGCTTTAAAAAGTGATCTCAAAGGGCTCTCACTGGTGGTGGTGGTTTGAACTGGAACCATAATCTGTTCTTGGGTGAATCCTGTTCTAACTTTTACTTATGTTACTGGAGAGAAGGAAAGACTGCGTGTGTGTGTGTCACAAGTTCTATATGCATACTGCAGACAAAGGCTCCATCGTTCTTAACTGGAGGTACGCCTACATTAGGAATGTAGATCTAGAGTCCTAAAGACTGAATTAGGAAGAGATATTCTTTAATTTGGCATTTTAAAACTTACTTTCTACTGAAATACTGTCCTTCCACCGTGTGTTAGGACAACCAGATATAGATTATATATGGACAAATATCTTCACCTTGTCAAGTTCTAACCTGTTATTTAAAAGCTTCTGCCCTCTACTGTTTCAAAAGCTAGCATTTTAGTCCTCCTACAGAGAGTATTTGAGTAAGTTACCTTAGAATGGGTCAGTGTGTTTAAACTGAAAGTTTAACTGCTTCAATTTTTCACTTAGCAAAGAAACTTCCCATGGAGGCAGTGACTATATCGACATATTAACAAGCATGAAAAAGGACTGGATGTGTACTGTCTATTTCCTGTTGCTCATTAATGAACAAGTTAGTGAACTAATCATGGTGAAATGGTGGTCTTGTAATGCAGAGAGATTTTGTTTTAATGCTTAGTGTAAATAATTACTGCAGTAGTTTAATGTTTTCTAGCCAGGAGCTTTAGAATCTGCTTTCCCAATCAGCAAACTTCCTTCCTTTCTGATCAAAAAGTACTTTTGGACAGTAGTGATGGCACAGAAGGTATGTCATTGAATTATGGTAGCTGGAGGCACTTCTGCCTGATCCTAGCACAAGCTCCTAGCACCAGCTGCAGTTTGAGATGTGAGCAAATAAGTATTAGCAGATGACATCCATCCTATTTTCAAGGAGGATTAAGAGGAAGAAAAAGAATAAATTTGTTAGAGCACCTGTTTAAATGTGCCTGAATGCTTCATCTCTGACATGTCAAAATGCTTAACACAATTTTTCTTGCTTCCTGGGGAGGCAGCCACTAAGCCCCCCACAGGCCGTTTTCCTAGTATTTGACTTTCAGAGAAACTAACGCTTGCACAAGGGCTCCTGAGTAAAGCTGCTGAGGAAAGAAGTGTGTGAAATCTAGCACAGTACCTTATTTACTTGGGATGCTACTGGGGGGCTACTGCCCTCCCCCTGAAGCAAAAATTCCACTTGGAGCAGCGGAGGTGCAGCAGCACAGCTTTTGTCTGCAAGCTGTACTCAGAGGGGACAAGTCTGATGTAGCCCTGAAAGCCTAAGACTGAGCAAAAAAATGCCATGATTAATTATCCATACTGAGTAAATCCCTGCTCACTGACTGAGAAGGGATTGAGAGAAATCTTCCTCAAATCAGATATTCAGAATTTTTGTCTATGAAATACAGCATGCTTAGAAATGTCAAGTTAATATTTCTCAGTGGTCTTCAAGAACTTTAGCATAAAGAGCAGTGCATGTACTTTCTAGCTGTTGTTCCTACTTCCTTATGGGTTGAGACATGGTATCATGGCAGCTCTTGAACAGTGGGGATCTTTATACCTACCTATGAATTTTTCAAATGTCTCCTTTTGGTCCTACTTCTAATTAAAATAAGAAAATGCATTATAAGCAGCATAAAATTGTTTTATATGGTGAGGGCCATGTGAAATCACTTGACTCTTGTCTCATAAACAGCAACACTTCACTCCTTAAGATCATGATCTATTTGTAAATTACTCAGAGTAATTGTGATGACTTCAGTAGTTAACTTTTTATAAACAAGTGAGTTTTGTTGGCTTTACTCTTGGAAGGCTGTTTTTACTATGTAATGGTGATTTCTGTTTTCTAGATAAAGTAGCCTGTAAGATTTTTCCTATCCCAACTGCTTATTGCATTGCCCTTTCAAATAATCTTAAATTAATAATGCTTAAACTTAGTGCCTTAAAAGTGTTTTTACTATACCTTTTTCCATGGCAATTTGCATCCTCTTGACCTGGATTGCTTGTGATGGGATGTAGTCTTTCTGCTATGTACAAAAAATATGCAATGCAATCCAAATTAAGTTTCTCTTTACATGCATAAATATTACAAAATGAAAACTGGGATTGCACAGAATACCCAGCTCCATGAGGGGTGTGTGCAGGAGAGCTGCACATGCCCAGCCGTGCTTGCTGGGGCGGGCTGTCTGTTGGCTGTTGCCATGGCTCCGAAAAGCCGGGGGAACCCAATGAGCTGTCTGCAGCAGTGCTGAAAGGACCAGCCATTTTGCTTATGAAAAACAATGTGACATATTATGCTGTGCTTTACGAAGGAATAAACAAAAAAAAAATCTCGTCAGAGCAAGCAAGGAACAGGCATATTAGTAATTACTGTAGCTGAGTGTGCTCACAAGCTGCCATTTTGACAGGCTGGTGACTGCTGTTCCTGCTAGCTGATCAGAGAAGATGGAATGCACAGTGATAATGCCGCATATCTGCTGTCAGGCAGTGGAGTAGGGTTTTGTCTTGTAAAGGCAAGGTTTTTCTGCAATGTTATCTCAACAGCTCACTAGATACTCAGAGTGAAGCTGGTGATCCAGGAGAAGGGTGGTGCCCCTTTCTTTTGCTGTTCTTGTGCACTGCTGGCCCTGGTAAACAGGCACTACTGAAGAAGCAGGTGTGCAGTTCAGCTGGGCTGTGTACTGCAGGCTGGGCAAAAGCCCCCTCAGCTTTATGTGCTTCTTATTAACAGACTGGCTTAGGAGCTTCTGCCTCTGGACTTTTCCACAAAAGGAAGCTGCTGTGCATCTCGGCTTGTGTAAAAGGTATGCCTTTGTGTAGTGTATTTCAATTTTGCAAAATAATACTCTGAGCAAAACTTCATGCATGAAATAACCTTCTCTGGAATCTTTCTATTAAAAAGGTGACTTTGGCCAGTGACTTGTTTAAAGCTGTTGTTCAACTGATGAGATTGCGTTTTTGTTAAATATTGTGCTGTGCCATATGGTTGCTGATTCAGAAGGATGTTTCCAATAGCTGATAAAATCTTATGCTTATGTTTTTACTAAGTTTTTTCTACTAAAGGTTTTTTGTTTTCCATTGTGCTTTGTAGTGTGAGGATAACATTGGGATATAAAGCGAAACTTGAATGTATTTGAAAAGCCCTAAATTGCTTAATTCTTTAGTACTGGAATTCATGCATTGTGTTCAGTCCCAGTGTAACTGGGTTTAAATTGTCCAACTGCTGCTGTGCAGTATGTAGGTCATAATAAAAGGCAGCTTTTGCACAAGCTTTTAACAGACAGCATGCCCCCCAATGCTGCGTTGGATTAGTTTGAGGTACTTGTCCTGTTAAGAGTAGTGGTATTACAGCCAGTCCACACCTCCTTTTTAAAAGATAATAGCACATACTGTGCTACACAGAGCACAACACACCCATTGTGTCCCTCTGCTTGGCCTTCAATAAAAGGAAGGAAGCCAGCACTCCACATGGAGCACAAGCACAGTAAGAGCAGAAGAAGGTTGAACTTTATTGAACAATTTGTGGTAAGCTTTCTACTGAAAGTAGTAGAGAAAATAACGTGAAGGCAAATGCACAGGAATAACTGGAACAGATGTTATTCTGATGGGGACGGTATGTTGGTGGTGTAGACTTTCAATTCAAAAATGAATTTCTCTGAATTAGGTATCAATCACACAATGTCTGCTTCTGAGATTAAAACTGGTTTGAACTAGGTCAATAAAACTAGTCTCTCAGTACAGATAGTACTTATACTAAAAGCAGCATTTCATTTTTGAATTACTAATTATATTCTCACTGAATAATACAGCTTCTGAATTGCCTAATACTGAAATGCATTAAATTATACTGACAACTGAAACATTCTGGTTCTCTTTGGACCTATAGAAAGGTAAATGATATTTTAGTATGAACTCTTATTTAAGTAATGTGTATGGTTGAGTGGGCTTGAGATCAGAAATTTGAGGTTTGTTATCTTAATAGTTAAGTTAATAACCAGTGTTCTGTAAATAAAAGCCAAATTCCAGTGTATTATTTCTGTATGTATGTCCTGCAGAGGTATTTGGACAAGCATGTTCAGCCGCTTTCTACTAAATGAGACATTGTATTTGAAAGCAACAATACAGAAATGGATCGCTACTATGTGTTTTCTTTAGAAAAGCTGCATCTTCCTTGAATCATTCCAGAATTTTTTTATTAGTGAAGGAACACTCCTCATATGAACTTTTTTGAGCATCCATACGTGGGGGTCGCATAGTAAGTTGAAAACTGCCTTGTTCTGTATTCTATAAAATTGTATGTACATTTACAATGTGTAGTACTTGAATGTTTGTAATTGAGTCTGTGTACATAATTATGATAAAAATACTTGATAAATGAGCAGAGCTAGCTTTTTCCATGCAGTGTTTATAAGCCTGTAAGAGAGAGCCTTTATAAAATAACAGTAAGAAATAGATTGAGCAGGTCTTAAACTAGCAAATTAGATTTTCTCTTACTTTCTCTTTGGTAAGGTCTATTTCCTAGGTGAAATTGACTTGTCAGTAGTGGTCATGGAGGTGCTGCAATAGCATTTGATTTTGAGGAGGAATTAGAACGAATTGAAGCAAACAGCAACTAAGCCTATCCAATATGAACTAGTTCCACATGATTTAAGGTAGGTATAAAGGAGTAGAATCCAGTCACTAATGTAGAAATCAAATGGGCATGGGGGGGGGGGGGGGAGTACATGACATTTTTCTTTAGCTCATGGTCAGCCAAAGTATATCTCTTAAGCAGCTTATCTAGAAGGCCTTGGTGATAAGATGATACAGGACAAATTTTGTAGCAGAAGGAATGATACTCATTTTCAGTTGAAGTCTAGAAGCTTTTCAGGTTTCAGTGGAGCCAAGATTTCAGTCCAGAGTTTTACATGGCTTAAGTCTGTAGGTTTTGCAAAGTCAAACCTTCTTGGTCTGCAGTGAGGTAAATTGCATCAGCTGTCATGTTTTAACACTACAGTCACTTCAAACACTTCTGATACAGATCACCTAAGGTGATTCTGGGTCCATGTGTTGTGATCACAACAGGGTGCCAACAAAGTAAAAGCAGATAGATTAACCCTAATATACAGTATCATAGTAGCAAGTGGAAACAGTAATAGAAACAATAGAACAGCATGACCAGAGAAAGTAGAATCAAGTGGTGTAACAGTTGGAGTATTATTTATTTAAAAAATCATTAGCTTTGAGCAAACAGTGATAAGCAGCAAACAGAGCCATGCAGGCTCACAGTAACCTTGAGAGCTGATGTGGGAATGTACTACCTACCCTCACTCAATGGCCTTAGAACTAGCCTCTGAAGTACAGAATACTTGTGTGACCAACCTGTGAGTAAGAAGGGTGGTGTGTGCCCAGGGAACACACTCAAATATCAAAGTAAGGTACATGGTATAATGTTACGCTATGCAATAGCCCAGTGCCACTTCTGTGCCGGAAAGATCGGGTGTTGAATATAATATACCAATAATGAGGTTGCATCTGAGTGGGCAGATTGCATGAGATGTGACCTTGGTTAAATTCTATTTTATAAGCAAGTAGTCATCAGCCAATATTTCCATGTTATGCAGACAGCATTACTGGAGCAGAAATATTATTCCAGTATGTACTTTGACACTGTATACTACTACACAGCGATTGATCCTTTTTCATATTGGTGTTTCAATATTGGATTAAGCCTGTTACTCATAACGAGTTTATATTTTCCTTGTATACTATTGGGCATAACGTGTAGCTGCTTATTTGTGAGATGATTGTCCCATAGATATGTTTTGTGCTCATTGGTCTTCAAATGTGTGGCTCCTTTTCATGAAATTATTTAACGAAAGTATACTCCTGTAGCAAAAAACATGTATAAGGGAAAATATGTTGATTTTTCTGAAATATGAAGTTTCTTTACTGTCTTGAGTCCAGGCTAAAACAAAAGCTGAGGACTCAAAAGGTGCTGATGTAATGGAAAACCTCATGTATGAGACTATGGTGTGATAGTGGGGAGAATTAAATACTTAAAAGGCCAGCATGAACCTTGGAGTGAAAGCATGCTGAATGACAAGAGTCTACATCTACTTCTGCTTTGTTCCTTTTTGAACCATGAATTGTACTTTTCTGTTCAGATTTATTGTTCTGTAAGTGATACATCACAGCTAATGCTGTTGTAAAGCAGCAAATTCCAAATGCAGCCTTTTTTGTTATTTCTAGCTTTTCATAAATATTTATTTTGTTATCTTTCTGAACTAAATTAAGATAATGTTCTGATTCATCCACCCTTAAACCTCACTGACCATCATCAGGGAGCTGAAGAGCACAGATGTAGTTCATAAGTACTTAAGCCAAAGTAACATAATATACTTTTTTTAGAATTGATGCTGAGATCCCAAAACTGGCATGAAAAGTGAAAAGTAAAATTTGAGGTGACAAGAAAAGCAAGTCTCTTTCCTCCCAGTTTTAATACAGTCATAAGCTATACAATAAGCTTTAATTTCATTAGCTTTTTCAGCAGATAATGTTGAAGCATGGAATGATCATAACTTTGCTTTTAAATAAGACATTTATATTTTTGTGCAAGTATTAAAATGGTGTATGCTGAACTGTTAGATGGGTAGCTTAAATTATCCCTAGTTTAGCAGCAGTTGCTGATTAGCTTTATCTGCAAGCAATGTATTTATGCTTTTTCTTTTTCAGGACCCAAATGAAAAGACAGCTGCATGAGGAAACACAAGGGGGAGGGAATCAGTAACTGCAGTTCCTATAGCTGAAAATCAAACCCCTGTAGGCTTAAACACACACACAAACTGATGTCTAAAAGATGTATTTGTTTATAGGCTCAAGAGTTCTGCTAATAGGGGATCAGTAGCTGGACTGAAGATCAAAGTGGAAGAGTCTGATTTTTCAAACAGTTTAAAAGCAGTGGATCCAGTTCCTTATTCAAATTTGTTCAGCAGAGTCAGTGGATGAGATAGTAGTTCAACTGCAGCAAGACTGAAAGGCAGCTGTTAATGCTCCCTAAGGGGCTTGGGGCTGCACAGTGTGTAACCCATGATGAGAAGGGATATAGGGACTGTGCTTCAGGTGCAGGCTAGCTGCCAAATGTTCTTTTTGACATTTTTATCTGAAGACTTTTAATCCTAGCCTGAACTGAAAGCTTCTTTATTGAAGGGTACCTTAGGAGTGTGATCATGTTTATTAAAGCCATGTATTTCTTGAAGGGGATACGTATAGATGGGTACAAGTGTGTGGAGCCACAGAAAGAGCATGAACCTTGCAGAAAGGTCTATCTTCCACATCATGTCAATAGTATGTGATGTTATAGAATATATAGCAGATTTTCTTGTCTATATGGTATAGGTATTTGTACTGGGAGCAAGAATTTGAAAGACAATTAATGATAGAGATCTGACAGATGTCTGTAATGAATTCAGGTGACTCATCTGTAGATTTAGCAAGGAGTATCAGTGAAAACAAATAGGCATTTCTGAATTTGGCCAAAAAATTATGTAATACTTCAGTTTATCCTTCAAAATACATACAGAAATACAAAAGCAGAATGATCAAATTTGTATTTTTAATATAATGTGAAAGCAGAGTAAACTATTGCACAAGACCTTTAAGTATACATATGTTAACGCATGGCAGTTAGTGTTAAGCTTTATGGTTTCTTCACCAGAAGAAAAACAATGTAAATATTAATAAAACATCTCATGCCTGATGACATCTAATCTCATACAGTGTTTTGACTCTGGTTAGACGAAGGATGTCCAGTAGGGGCATCTTC